GAACAGGGTTTAAGTGGACCCAAAATACCTTTATAATAAAGTCTTAGTGACTTTTGGTGATTTATTTATTATATTCCTAAGACTTGCAGCCCAAAAGAATGAATTACCACTTGTGGCTGCAGAGAGCTCTGTTCCTCAGCACAGTGTTCAAATTCCGAATTGTTAAAAACCAAGAGTCAGTGGTTTTCTTGGCTGTTAACACTGTCTCCCTAGAGTTTAGGGAGTTTATGCACTCAGGCTATGCCACCAGATAAGATAATATCTTCTGGCTTAATCTGTTTAATCAACAGACAGTTAAAAGGACATTACTGAAATATTGGCAAGAATGTAAACAAGAATGTATAAACTATGCCAAAAATGTCATTTGCAATATACGTTATGCAATTTCTTTCATATACTGAATTGTATAGTACAGGACAGTTGGAATCCATCCATCCATCCATAGCATTTATCCTTTGAAGGTCGCAGGGAGCTGGAGCCAATCCCAGTGAGAGAGGCGGGATACACCCTGGACAGATATATAGACCAACATATAGAGACAAACAACTATTCACATCCACATTCACACAATATCGCCAATTAAACTAACCCCACTCTGCATGTCTTAGGACTGTTGGAGGAAGCCAGAGAAAACCCACACAAACATGGGGAGAACATACACACTCCACACTTAAAGGCCCCGGTCAGTTATAGGTATAAAACCAGTACCTTCTTGTTGTGAGCTGACAGCGCTAACCACAGCATCACTGTGCAATACCCAGGAGCATTACAAAAAGACTTGACTAGAGTCTCACCTGAATTAGCATCTCCTGCTCATGCAGGAGCATGAGTTTGCTGGCAGATCCATCAGCTCTGTGCTCCAGCATCAGAGAGAAGTGCTCAATGCTCTTTATGGATAGCTTTTCTTGCAGGGTCAAGATGACGTCCTTTCACATGGATAAAGTAATTGTTAATACAACATGAGAACCATGCAGATGCAACAGCCTGCTCAGCTAACGGCCATAGCCGTGAGTAATTTTCACAACTGAACACACACAACAACAAAAACATTCTTGAACATTCAATTAGATTTTAAACTGCAGTGGAGAAAAGAGGGAAATGTAAATAGCCACGTGAAGCCTCCCTGCTCCAGTTTACTGTGATTAAGCTGCATTCTGTTTTGTTCTGAAGGCCATAGTGAAGAGAGGAGTTTAAACTTTATAACGCACAGAGCAGCTGTGAATAACATTCAACATTTAAACTGAACATCACTTCCGATTGTGGAGCAGCATTTCATCACTAAGCAGGGTTCCCTCCAGCACCTACCTTAATGGATGTGTTGCTGTCGAATCTAAATGATTTAGTTTGCCCATTCTCCAGGTACACCTTCAGAACATTTGGCATAAAAAGAAGGGAGTTGTCCTTCACTGTTTCCTGAGGATGAAATAAGAATAATTTGATCAACAAATCTCTTTCTTGCCGAAGGTTGTTTACATAAAGCAGTTAAATGCATCAGGAGTGGAAAAGTCTACATAACAAGGTTTGCAAAGAAATGATTGCGCATTGAATTATATAGATATATGGCGATTGATGATTAAAAGAAAATTACCGGTGTGATTTAACGTTTTGGGGAATAGTCTTTCTTGCCAAGATGACTAGCTTAGCTCAGCTTATCATAAAGACTGGAAACAGGTGGAAACATTTAGCTGCAAAGCTAACATAATCCACCTCTATGGCTCATTAAATAATGTGCTGTATTTAACAATGAGGACAAAACTCCAAATATGAAATATGTTATCATGATTAGCAACACTTCTGTGCAAAGCTAGGCTAACCATCTCCAGCTTATACAGCTTACTTAAAACCAATTCTTTAAATGTTCATTTGACCTGTTTTTGTTTGTTTTATTCAATTTTCATTGCATAACATTTTTCTGAGCCAACATATTGTAGAGAGTGAAACATAATGATGCATCGTCCTTAATGATCACTGATGCTGTCCTCATTTCAGAGGGTATGATCGCCTGATGGTGTCTTTACTCTGTAGTTGCTTTCTCTGAAATCTACTCTCATGTGTGACACATCCAACAAATTGGGCAAGGTCTCTGTTGATAGTTCCTCCTTTTTTTTCTCTCTAACTTATATCCTCATACGCTGGTTGATGAAAATAGAAATGAAGAAGAAGGTGTTTTATTTCCCCTTTGTCTTAGATTGTGAATTCTACTACTTTGACTCATTCTGCGCTCTAGTTTTAAGAGTTTTAGTCTGCTGCTGTCGTGTCCTGTGCAGAACCTTGATATGTACATAATGAATCAGTGTCCAACGTGACTTACTGGGACCTGGCCATTGATGATGACCTCTTCAGCGAAGCGCACTTTAACAGGATTAGTCTTTAACTTGGCCTTTTTGGCTGCGCTGATGAATGCCGATTTTGGTGACTTTAGGAGGGAAAGAAGAAAAAAAGAAAAAAAGGAAACAGAGATTTAAAGGACAATCCGTCCGTTCAGAGATGAGTCATGCACTTTTTCCATCGCCACACACAAAGTCAAGGACGATCCCCTCTTGAAACATGACCACGGTCCATTTGTCCGCTCTGTGCTGATGTAATTAAGGTGGCACTATGTATCGGCATGTGAGAGAGAATGCCCTCACTGCTGCCGTGTCATTGAGCCTGCAAACGAAACACCTGGTGAATGGAAATAATTACATGATGGATTATAATTTCTGCTTGGTCCTCTGGGTATCATGGAATATGACACAATTGTTTTTCCTGCAAATCATACCTTTTTGGCCACTTAAGAGACTCACTGTCCTGAGAGTCTATACTGACACAAACAAAATGCTAACATGAAATGTAAGGAGATTTATTTACATGACTTTTTGTTTTAGGAAATTATAATAATTATAATTGCTGTCTTGCTGGTTCCCTGCCAGTGTTGTTTTCTGGAAGCACACACTCACGCCTTGGTCTATTTTTGGAGGGAATTCAAGCATAATTCAATTTTCACTGACTTATTACGTGAACTGTAAACAAAGGCCGAATACATGCTCCTGGTGCAGTTCGCTCACCACCATCTGGTGCTCCATGACTTTAGTAAATGTGGATGCGTCGGGTTTATCTGAGGTTTTGCAAGGATCTGACACCACAACATGAGAAAGACTGCAGTGGATTTGGATTCCCTTTGAGTTAGCCTGGGTCTGACATGCATCTACGGCATTACTGATACAGTGCCAGCACAAACATATGGCATGATTAATGATTTGCTTTCATATAGTTACTGAGAAACAAATAATCACACCAAACAGCCTAATGTAATGTGCAAGATTTTATTCATAGAAGATGGGGAAACTTACTGGGTACGGCTGAACAACAGTCAACAATATGGACTCCTTGCAACTCCTGCAGAAAAAAAAAAAAAAATTAATGAAGGATGAAAACAATAAAGTAATAATATGGAAATTAAATTAAGAAATACTGAAGTTGCCCTGGGATCAGTTATGGTTTCTGAGCCATCATGGTGGAGGAGGAACAGAGTGTCCTAGAGACGCTCCGGGCAGCCTAGTTCAGAGTTTAACTGCAGAGAGAGAGCTGAGTCAAGGCCACAGGAGCTGTGAGGGATTGTCCACGTGAGCACTTCTACCTGTTGTAATCTGTAGTTTACACCCTGGTGCACAGTTCGCACGAGGACCAAAACGCTCACAGCCAGCCACTCAGCTGTTTCAGTGACATTAATCTAATGAGACGCATGAGAAAACATCAGCACCAGCATGCAGCTAAACTGCAGTCATTTGAGCAGGTGGCTACAGTAATGAGTCATATTTATCCAGTTGAAATATTTGGTTTACTGATGCTTGATGAATAAAAATAAAATAGAGTGATGAAGTTGTTGTAGTATTTTCTTAATCTGGATATAAAGTGAACAGTACAACATGTCCTTAAACTGTGAGAAAATATATTTTATTTATGAAGCAGTGACTCCCTCTGCTGCCGGCATTAAGCTGGAACAGGAAACGCCCCCCCACTACATGTTCTACCTTTTATACAGAGCAGTGAGGTAGAATGAAGGCACAATGCTGAAAGATTTGACATTATACTAAATACTTGAACACAAACATGTAGCCTCCATTTAACTTAAATCAACTTGCTGCACTAGTATTTTCTATTTTTAAATATTTAGATCATTATGTAGAGACCTGCTTTTACTTTGACACTAAAGGTTTATTTTTCCTTTGAGCAGTGTCAAAACACACAGTAAATCTACTCGGATTTAATGGTGTAAGACAATAAAAGAAAACTTCCAAGAAGGGGGAATATAAGCTGTGTCCAAGTTCAGGGGCCGACTCCTTTGGAGGCTGGATTTGAGGGCTGATTGCATCACAACAGCTCAGAAATGCTTCCTTTCGTGCCCGAGAAATGTAGCCTTCACTATGTGGATCCCTAAGTATCAGGCTTCACTAATCTGAACAACTAATACAAAAACCAAGGGGTATTAAAGTTTCTTGTAGTTTGGCACTGCAGCTCTTGTTGCTAGGCGACCGTGGTGAGGGCGGGACAAGCTGGTGAAGCGGATAAAGAAAATCCTCCATAGACCACACTCTTTTGCTTCAGCCTTAGAGGTCCACACAGCCCACAAAGGCCACCTTCTTCGTGTGCCACATGTCTTCCAAAGAATGGGACCCCTGAATTGGGACACAGCTATAGAGTCACCAACAACAGCTTTAACAGCAGACAAATGGCATCTCACCTTAGTGTGTCGTCATACCTGACAAGGTCAATAACCCTCTCTCTGGGCGCAGAACTGACCGGCTCATCATTAATCATGATGATCTCGTCCCCTGGGATCAGCTTTCCTTCTGATGGACCCCCTGTCAATGCACACCAAACAAGAATTAAGTACAAACCTTGCACAGTCATTCCATTTCTCTTGATTTTCTTGGTTTCCTGTCTCGTCGCTCAAGGCTGGAATTAATGCTTAATCATTCCGTGCTGTTTAAAACGATGAATCATCAAAGTAAACTACAGCTGGTGTGGGTTTCCTCTTTTCCTTCTTCCTTTCGAGCAACATTTTAGGAAGGTTTCATCTTCTTTGGGGAATAGACTGATAATGTCCAGGGATCTAATGAGTCACTACTTTATATTAGAGCTCCTAGTAAGTGGCTGGTTTACTTTACCTGGTGTGACTGAGCGTACCACCACAGGTTTCTCACTGCCTGCCACAAAACCAAAGCCCAGCACTGGGTCCCGTCTCATCTCCACCTTCCGGGGAGCTGGTGGCACAAACTTGTCTCCGTCCAGACGAATCTCCTCCAGGGAGCTGCTCTGGGAGACGTGGCTGTGGGAATGATACAAAAGATGCTGTTTTCACCATGTTTGGTTGCTGTATTTATTGAAAAGTACTTTTGTGTAGAGCAGTAAATAAATCACCAAAGTGCTTGCTTATTTTGGGAATTGCTGGGTTTCTCTATAAATTACAAGGTTGAGACCTTAATGTGATTTGGCATTTAAAATTGAACTGAATTGAATACCATATATTTATTTCATTTCATTTATTTTAGTTGCTGACAGTGTTTCAGGAGAGACATAAATGTCCAATGTTATATATTGAACTTGATTACCCTTCATATGAAATTGAAATCAATCAAATCAATCATATGAAATCCACTGGGGAAACAATTAGCTGATTAATCGATTAGTTAATCCCTTTTTCTTTTCTTCTTACTTAGTTTCAGAATTTGGTGCTTTGCTTTGGTGCTTTGTTATGTATAATGAATATGTTATGAATGTAAATATAAATAATATAAATGAATATTTTATATCAAGTAAGGCTCTGGGAATTGTTGAAGAGTATTTTACCAATTCTAAAAAAATGTGAATGATTGGTCGATTAATTTAAAACATGTTTTTCATTTTGATGAAATCCTGAAAACATGTAAAGACAGGCTGCCAGAGTCTAAAAATGAGGAAGTGCAATGCTGCAAGAATAGATCATGTGGGCAACAGCAAACAAGCTCCAATGTTTGTATTCTCACATTGTTTGTATCCACTGTGCACTTCACTGAGAGGCACTCAGTGCACTGTGTAGTACTCATACTGTAATGTGTTACACATTACACATGCCACACTAATGAAGATACAGAATGCAAAATTTGAAGCATCATGCTCAGTTGAAGTCTCCCAACTCTCTGAGTTAGAATTTTTCTGTCTCAGAGATCAATAGCTGGCTTCAAATTAAAATTCTACAGTTTAAACCTTTAAACTTCGGTTTCTCTGATCAGTGGATTTTTCTTCGTCTCAAGTTAATAACACAGTCACAAACTGTAAGTCGCTTCCACATTTTCTGTAATCAGTGTTTTAACAGTGCTCCTCCCTGGCTGCAAAAGCAGCAGCAGCAGCAGCAGTAGCTCTGTATGGTGCCAACAATGTTGGTTAATTAAAGCTGTGGGCAGACTGTGTAATTCACAGTTATTCTTGACACATGTACTATTCACCACTAAATACTAACAATTAATCTTTCATGGCACAAAGACACAGTGAGATCTGTCAATCGCAGTCCCAATACCATGAGAAAAAGCAACACAGAGAACAACAAGATGTTCAAAGCAATGTGACTGTCAACTGATATTTTGAGGATTCAATAATTCTTTTCCAGAGATAGAAAAAAACATGAGCTGAGATCTGTCTTTGGGATACAGTATTGAACTAGAAATCATGAATCGTTACTGAAAAGAATAAAAGACCACACAAGATGTATATTACAGCCAGTCTTTTAGTGCTATCTATTAAAACAGGGTCTTCATTGTTTGAATAGGGGTTAAGATGCCCACGGAATGTACCTAGAGTGAGAAACAGAGTCTTGAAATTAACCTTTATCTTATTGCACAATGTACCATATGCCAATCAGTGCAAATACCCCTTATATAAGTCCAGCACAAGTTAAATGATTATTTAAGGTGTAAAGAAGCTACAATACACCTTAAATGTCTTGAGACTAAGCTATCATTTTACGTGAATCCCACAGTGTCCTTTATTCAAGGAAAACTAAAATGCAGCAACACAAATACACAAGCTTACTCACAAGTTAATAATAAAAAAGCTGCTTTGAGTGCAGTAAAGGAAATTATTAATGTTATAAATGAAATCCAGTGCAAAATCTAAATTGGCACACAGAGGCTGGTAGGGGCAGCCAGTCTTGGTTTTTTCCCTTTTTAATGATAATTAAAGAAGTGATGCAAAAGTAATGTGCTACAGATTCAGTTAAAATTATAAAACAGGCTAATGTAATCTCTTACTTCATAAGTATTATGCAGGGGCTATATTACATCACAAATTCAAATTCTGGCCTTCAATTCTTCCAAACCGTCTTCTCTCTCTCCTGTATTGGAGTGATGCCATTTTTTTAATACGTATATTAATATACATTTTATGTAATCTTTAAATATTTAAACAAACGATAAATCAAAACATAACATATTTTACACATCATAGAAAAATATCCTTATTTGATGCAGTCAACCATTGTTTCTCCCCCCACAAAAAGAAAAACATTTGTACTAACTGCACTAGTATTGTCGTCAGTACACACAGCCTTTAAAATGGCCACCAGGCAGCCAAAGGCAAAACTCATTAATCTTAGAGTGAGATTCTCTCAGATGTTTTTCAGTCACAAACTCTACTCTGCAACTAATGTAGGAAATTGACCCCAATAACTTACTGTATCATGAAAACAGCAATTTAACTGTGGACAGAACAAAGCAGAAGATAGTTGTGATGAAAGATATAAGAGGAAGTCACCTAACAGAATAAGAGTGGCTGTTTCCCAAGCCATCAGTTCAATAATGTATGCGTGTCCCCATGTATGGACAGAAGCACTAATATTGATATTTGCAAAGTAAAAAGACCATAAAAAGATAAAAAATACCTTAAAATACTGAGCTGAATTAATCTCCCTGTTCCAGATTTAAACAAGGTTATCCAAGAGGAAATCCACATTTCATTAATTTACAGGGAAATTAAGGAAATGTGTCTCTGAATGAGTTAATGTTTACTTTCCTGAGGGGGGTTATTTAACAAGTCTGACTGCACAAAACAACAACCACCCTAAATGTAAAATGTGTCATTGTGTATTGATGTATTTGTCATCAAAGCTGCAGGTCTTGTCGTAAATTTGATTCCGGGTTTCATATACTACCTTTTATATACTATCATTCACTGTGCTGTCATTACTGTTTTGAAGTTTTACCCTTGGAACTGAATTTAAACTATTTCTCTTCTGGTCTTAGACTTTTCACTGTATATAATTTCAGAGTTTTCTGAATGCCTGATATCATTAAGTTGCAGCGTTAGGAAACATTAATGCAAATAATCTCACCTAACACAGGTTGGAAGGTTGGTCAATTAGTTATGTGACCCCATGTTTATTTATACACTGAAGCCTCCATGCAACAGAATCAAACATCTTGTTTTTTTATTTTCTTCCCCAATTTCTTTAAAAAAACAATGTTCTTTGTTCTTTTAACATTTGAGATTTTCACACATAATTCTACAAACTGTCAAATCCTTAAATCTCAGAGGGTCACATGGATTTGTGTGTCAGTTTTGTCTCTTAAAAACAAACTAAACAGACTGTGCACAAATCACAACCATATGGACCTGTGCATGCAGGAAGAGTGTTGTCTCCTACCCTGCATGGCCACCTGCTAAACATGGCAAAATTCCCATTATGCAGAGAGCCATGCATCTAATGGCGCCTAATAATACCCATTAGCTGCTAGTGCAGCTCTTCAAGGCTCTATATAGCAACCATGAGCCACATTGTCTTAGACAGTTTTAAAAAATGAACAAAAATGAGCAGTGAAAAGAAATACTGGTCTCAGTGTCATTGTACGAAGATGATTTTCATACATTTTCTTAAAGAGGAGTATGTTTATTTATGAAAACAATATCCGCTTACTCCTCTTAAGGGATGCTTTGTATTTATTCCATCGATACTGGGTATAGACTTCTAAATGTTCTGTTGCACTTCCTACATCAACTGTCTGAATTTGGGAAAAAATCCAATGAGCGTCAAAGCTTGTTGACATTATTTGATGTGCAGGCAGTTCAGGAAGTTGGAGGGAAACAAAATACGTGCGAAAGCTGGTGTGTGTTTGAATGTTTGTAAAGCTTCAGTTAGCCACGAGCTCAGTCAGTAACTATCTGCGTTGCTTAAAGCTAAACGTCACATGATGCCCAAGTGAGTTCTTAATTATGTAATGAAATGCTTTCTATGGCTGGTGGTTATAGTCTGGAAACATAGGACAGACGAGTGGATGGGAGAAGGCAAATGCTTTTGTCAGTGTGGACGCACTCATATCGCAAACATACCAGTAGAAAATACTCCATAGCATTCATGCTTAGGGGGTTGTATTTTTCTTGCCTTTTGTTGGAACATGATGTAATCACAGTCCACATTTAGAGGTGCTTGGCTATTGTGAATTTTCTTAAATGCAAACCTAGCCTAAAGGACCAGGATGTAAGATTTAATGACATCTAGTGTTGAGGGTGCAGAGTGTAACCAACTGATTGCCCTTCCCTTACCAAGGGAGTAGGGGGAATCTGTTGTGGCCTTCAGGCAACAAAATACAAAATGCCCTGTTTTGAGTAGGTGTTTGTTTTGTCCATTCAGGGCTCTTGCCTGACAGGTCAGTGGACTCTCTCTGGCTCATTCTAAGATAACAAAACCATTTTTCCATATCTGTTTGATTTAAGTGAATATAAAGAAATTAAGACATGATTCTGAATTTTATACTTCCAAAGTCTGACCTAAATCCTACACAAGGGTCCTTTGAATGTTCTGTCTCACATTGTAAATTTTAAATGCCTACTACTGCTTTATTCATGTGCTCCTGTCACGCTGAGTAGACATGTGTTTCATTGAGAAATACAACAATCTACTGTCAACACCCGGGACACTTTGCAAACTCAGATGGTCCCTGACAGTCACAGGAACAGACATTTGATTATTCATGAGGCTTTCTCAAAATTTGAGAGCTAAATCTGGAGCCAAAACATCCTCCATGATCTGCCTGCCTCATCCAGACACACTGTGCATCCAGCACTTTCACTGCTCCTTACTTCTTATATAACTCCTCTGACATCACGACTCTCATGTTGTAACCCATGTGTGAAAAGTGCTCACCTTCGATTCTGTGTATCACGCAGATAGACAGATGTTTTTCACATTTTCAACATGCATCTTGAACAAAACACGACTGTGCAGTGTACATGTACATGTTAGATTCTATCCTGATGAATATCAGTGAGAAGAAGTAATGATCTAGTGAACAAATGAGAGGAGATAAAACGTGCAAGACAGAATCTAGTATGCACAGTGTTTCAGAAATGCATCAATATTATTTCAGATCTAGTTTGGATGCATATTGCACATCTCAGGTGTGAAAAAACAGAGGAAAGCCCAACTGAATCAACACAACAGATAAAAGGAGCCAACACTCACTTTTTAAATCAGGACATGAGCGCACAAACATATCAAGAACCAGCAAAGAGTTTCCTTTTTACCTGCCTGTGCAAATATCCAGAAGTGCCAATTACCAAGGCTCAATTACACTGATAACACCGAGCCAGCGTCCTCTGTGGAACGCGTCGCCTCCCAGATCAAAACAAGTCCCTGCACAGGTGGATTTCTTCTTCTGCAGCACACACGCACATGCACTCAAAATCTCTTCTTCTGCATTTGATATAGACTGCATGAGGAGTATTGTGGGTGTGTGAGAGTGTGAGGGAGAGAGAGAGAGTGAGAGTAGGCAGGGGCAGAGTGTGCGCAGCAGCGGAGAGAACAGAGAATCAGTATTCCGAATGCACAGATGGAGACAGTGTGGAGGCAGTGACGTGGCTGGAATAATCACGGGTTGGCAAAGCGTCTGAAACATCTGGGACAGAGTAAGACCCCCCTCGGTCTCTCTAAACACAGGGCACTTACTTGATGTAGCAGTCACGCCCCTCTCTATTGGTGCCCATGTCCCATCCATTGGGGGGTCCCTGTGAAGAACTCCAGGTCCCTGAAGGGGGCGGCCAGCCTGAGGATCTGGTCCTGTGGCTGCACAGGAAGAAAAGGGGAGAGAAGTAAAGCATAGAGCAACTTTATAAGTCATAAATCGTGAAATGGAATATCAGTTAATCCAACTGCAGGAGTTCAAAATAATATTCAGTATAGAGGTAAACCATGATATGATGACCAATCATGATAGAAATAAATGAGTTGTGGGCTCATGTGAAGGGATTCAACCCGAGTGATAAGAGAATGCCCGATTCCTGCGTGATGAACAATGTCCCATCGCCGCAGTTCACTCAGTGAATACAAATCAAATTAATTACGTAAGCCAGACACACAGGCGGAGTTGTCATGCCTCACTCTTGTGCTTTGAGAGGCATGAAATTGGTTTTATTTCTAGATGTCAGCATATTATTTATAAAAGAAGCCTGGAGGAATTCTCTTTATAAAGAAGCCCTTTGATTTGCTCAATGCCAAGATGATTTGATAAAGTTTATCAGGAAACACAACCGGCTACGGCCAAACGCCAGGCACGTTAACAATTCTATTGTATGAAAGAGCCTGTGGAAAATCTCAATTCTCAGCTGATTTTCTGATTTTGGCAACAAAACACATCCGCGTCCAGGGCTACAAGTTGCCAGGTATTCGGGGAGAACTGTAATTGGTTGAAATGTTTTCATCTGCCGTGTTTTTCATCTGCACCCTTCTTCCTTTATCTCTGTCTTTGTGTCTGCACACTGGTGATGCTATGAAAGCAGTGGCAGTAAGTTATGTCACTTCAAAGGCTTGTCTGCCGTGTAACACGGCTCTTCGCATTCATTATTCAAAGCCCCTCTTTCTTTACCTCTAAATGTTTCCCCAGTCACTGTACAGCTGATAATAAATTGTGTGCAGGTGCAGCGTGCACGTATCTGCGTGAGAGTGTGTGTGGTGGTGTGGGTGTGTCTGTGAGCATGTCTGTCACGTGCCCTTTTCATGAGATATGAATAAAATATTGCCGGCTCATCAAAGCGCAATGAATGAGCTAAGAGAAGGGTTACACAATGATTTAAAACAAACAAAATCATGCAACTGGAACAACTGTGCAGCTCTGACATCACATACACTAATGAACTATAAGTGCTACTTAATGCATTAAATCATAATTCACAGATGGACTAAAGAGTATTACAGCTGATAATTGTTTTTTTTTCTTTTGTGCTCTACATTTTAAAATTGGACACACAGGAAGCAATTTGATTTCTAACCCAGTACAGTGCTGTGTTTGGGGGATATTAGTGTTTCCACATGGATATGGATTTATCTGACCCACAGTACATTAGCTGGGAGCAGGCCTCCATGGTGTATATTTAGAACACATTTCCTGCAGCTCAAATGATGTGTGGGCACAACTGGATGCTGTTTGACACTTTTGGAGCCGTGTTCACCTCATCGATGGGTCCTGTTGTACCCTCTAATTTCAGATTCTGGGATTAACCCAGCCGCCGTGCTAACACGATCAGTGTTTTAATGTCCTCAAACAGTAATATAAAGAAAGGTCATCTACAGTAGCATTTGAATTATATCTTATATTTTTTCACCTTAAGCTCTGCAATGTTTGACATTTCTCTAAAGGTTTACAACACAGTAAAAGGTTTTTTACTTACATATCCAGGTGCTTTGCCTTTATCATATGTTTCTGGGCTCATAAACTGTTCTTTCAAATCCATTTTCTGTGTCGCAGCCACAGCGTCTCCATATTAACAGCACAGTTTTAGACACTGTGATCTTTGATTTCTTTTGTCTGCAGGCGGCAGGTACATTCTGCCATTGAGTTGCAGCACTCCAGCTTAACAGAGAGGCTGAAAAGGTTCACTCTGCTGGTGGACAGTGAAACTGATCCTCCTCAGCCTGTGTTAATAAATGATGCCCGCGCAGTCACATTGGACTAAGTAATTGAGCGCCAAGTGGGCAAGCCATGCTGCACAATTCATGAACAGGTTACCCAAGAGTCAGAGCGAGGACAATTAGAACAAGACGCCGCAAACAAAGTGTAGGTTCCTGAAGAATACCTTGTGGGACAAATTGCCCTTAAACTACAAAATTCAATGAGACTTTTTTTGCATTTGGCACATTTCTTATGATTGTACTTATTTTATAATTCAGTAGCATTCAAAAACCTAATCTTTAAAAGGCAATGACAACAAATGGAAAAGCAAAAAGGATTCACAGCACATTAAAATTACAATACCATCAATATTCTACAATAGCATTAAGACTTTGCTACAGCATCTAAATTCAGCATCCTCTAAATTTGAAGATTACAACAGTGTCTTCATTTTGTGCATCTATCGTTTGGATGAGCAGCATCAATAGTCTTTCAAGTTCATCTATTTGGAAGATGTAAGAGTTATTGTGCTCTCTGACACATGGGAAAAGATCACTTATCAGTCCTTCATAAAAGTTGCATGGACAATGTGATCCTTGCTTTATCACAGTGGTTCACTTTCGCTTTCATCTCTCTGAATACAGGCAGGTTTGGGAAGAAGCACCTTGGTGAGTCATGAAGGCTGAAAATGCGAAATTCAGGGAGTCACGCTGCATTATAGACAAGCCGAGGACGAGAGGAGCACATTCCAACACAGACACTCAAGTTAGTGTGAATAATTTACACGATCTCCATGAGGCTTGGCTACATGAAACCATGCTGTGGTGCCTCATGCCTGCCATTGTGAATGTCAACGATTTGCACTTCCACTTGATGGCTAACTTTTGCCGGCATGTATGTGCTGATTACCGGATGACCAATGATTTCCCTTATTGGTTCTTATGACTTGACCAGCATGCATTGGGTGAGTATCCCCACGTCCAGAGACAAATACCGATCTCAGTTTTTTTTGCTAACATATGCCGTCATGAATGAAACATCACTTTACTCTTGACAGTGGCGTGTGATTTAATATGAATCCAGTCTCATGCAGGATCTACTAACAGGCTAATATCTAGTCTTTCAACATTCTACAGAGTTGCTGTTGCATGATTACACACAATGTCACACGTGTCATACAATCACACTGTCACAATTACATTACTGGCAGTCCATCCATCCATTAGCTATACCGCTTAACCTTTTGAGGGTCATGGCGGGGAGCTGGAGCCAATCCCAGCTGACATTGGGTGAGAGGCGGGGTATACCCTGAACAGGTTGCCAGCGTATTGCAGGGCAGACACATAGAGACAGCATTACTGGTCATTTTAAAGAAATCCCAAATCCTTGGTGATAATTATATTGATATTCATGAAATTAAAATAAAAAAGTATTGAGATATATGACTTGAGATACATGAGGAAGATGCCGTGACACTACTTCCTCTGTGCTCTTGAATTGAAGCAAGACATTTATGCAGAGATAGACCACTAATGTAATTGTGTTTGGATATGAAATCTGTGCAGAGGCAGCAGATGAGATGACCATCTCCTGGGAGGAGGCAGGGGAGCGGAGCGGAGAAGTGGCACAGACAGAGAGGAACCTCTCTGATTAAAGGCCTTATTCCTCCGCTCCTCTTTTAGACTGTCTCCATCCTGGTGAGGACACAAACGGGCCGCCTTTTGTTTAAGAAAACGTCTGCCCGCTTCTGGACTTCCCTGACCACAATCTTGGCTCTAATGCTGTGGTCAGTATGGCAGCACAATACTCCAATCTTGTCCGAACTAGCATTTATAGTGTGTCTCCGATTTATACACCATTGTTAATGTGAAGCTGACCTTGTAGTTACACATAATTTCTCTGTTGTTTTGTGACTTGAAGATAATTTTATACACTTTACAACGTGTTTATTTATCTCCAGAGAAGAATACATCTCGACATGGAAGAAACCACATTTATATGAAGCTAACGATGATGAAATAACATCAACACAACCAAATCACGCAGTCGTAGGTGACTAGAATTTGTGCTTTGCCCCATATAGGGACATCATGCAGTGATATTGAACATATCTACACTCACTACTGCCTATTTACCCCATTGCAACTCAATATTGTATTTCTGTGTTTGTCTTTGGAAGCACTGATATTGTTGCCATGGGCAACCACACTATTCCTGAGCAGCTCTGTGGTGCCTCTGTATAGAAAGGTTTTGGTTAGTTAATCTCCTCTGGGTGGAAATAAAACAGCATCTGGGAAACAGGCCACCCACCATGATCCTCCTGCTATTTTACATTGAGTGAGCGTCTGAGTCTCTGGTTTACCTGTTAATCAGCAAAACACCACCATTTTGCTTTAGGGCTACTGCTCCAAGACTGGATATATTTTATCCTGCAACAATAACTAATCAGAACCCTAAAGTGCATGACTGCACACATGCATCATACGTTTCTCATTTGACCACATGTATAACTTTCCTTGTTTTATTAATCGTTTTATATCCGGCTGCAGAAAAACATACATTATATGTTTTCATGATTATTTCATTATTTTATTATTACATGGCATCAGGCCTGCCTTGCTCCACAGTACTCTGTGTAAAACAGTAACCAAATATAGTGATAAACTTACCCCTTGGGCAATGAACCAGACTTAGATTCTCCTGCACCTCATTGTGTGACACTGCTTTTATGCTAAAAGCCTCTAAAGGACAGAACAAAATAAATGGTTGCCCGAGAACTGAACCACCAGCCAGCTGGCTTGTGTTTTTGACCCTGAGCCATTTGTGATCCACTCTTCCCTGAGAGCTGCTGCTGAGTTGAATGGCTAACTATGACAGATCTTTTGCTCTTTGTGTACTCTGATGAACATTTAGGCTAATCAATTTGTGTCCAGTGATTTCCTGTGAAAAAAGTTTGCCGTCAAAATATGTCAAACAACGGTTCACATAATGGATTTAGGAACAACACACACACACACACACACACACACACACACACACACACACACACACACACACAAACACACACACTCACATGCACAGCTTGGAATGAACAAAGCC